CTCTGCGAATAATAGGAACTCCATAAATTTCGCGGACCAGCTTGGAAAGCCGGGGAATTCCTCTCGCTCTGGTTAGCACCTGGGACTCTTCAGAGCCCCAGGAGGACAGAGTCACTCCCTATGTCCTGGGGACTCCACTTCTGTCCCTCGGCTGGAGTAGGCACTTGCAGCTGCATGGTGAAGCTGCTGTGCGAACCCTGGGGCCCTGCAGTGAGCACAGCAACGCGTCTCCCCATGGGGATCCGAAAGCCCCAGCCCGGGCAGTGAACACAGTTACTCAGCTCCAGGTTTCAGCAGCACAATGAACCGCTGAAACCTGAACCAGCAGGGTGGTTGGCTCAGCGTCTCTGCGTGGGGCTCCTCTCTGGCCAAGGGGGCAGCCGGACAAGGCTGCTGGGGGGGAACCACAGGATCTTACACACAGCTCCCCCACCCTGGACCTCAGCAAAGGAAGCCTCATGAGACAGGCTGAGGCAGAAGAAAGTTGACAAAGTGGCCAGAGGTGCCTCTGCAGTGCAGGGACAAGTTACTGCCCAATGCACTAAGTCTTCTTTGAACATAGAAGTAGAATAAACTACTTCATTCTTGAGTCATGAGGAAGACTGTGGGCTGTACGTGGGCCAAACCTCCAGCCCTGAATCACCTTGCAGAGGCCAGGAGCCAGCGGAGATACAGGAGTGGAGGCAGAGAGCACAGGGTGGGTGAGCGGCCCTTTGAAGAGCTCCGGCTGCCCTCTACCAAGAAGAGAGTAGTCAGCAGTGCGTCCCTCTGGGGTCTGTTAAGAGCTGACTGTCACTCCCAGAGGCCACTAGTTGTTTTTCCCTCGGACTTGGAGATGCACACAGCCTTCCTGAGCACAGACCCCCGGAGCAGGACCAGGTCTGCAGGAAGCCTCTGCTCACTCGTGAGTCCTGCCCCACTTCCAACCCCATGAGCCTGACTCTACAGAGTTTGTCCAAACAGTGGGCAGCTGGTAACAGCCAAGGCCACTTAGGGTAAATAAGGATGGCTTATAAAGGCAACAAGGAAAGTGGACTGTTCTAATCATTGCTCAGCTTCAGGAAACAGATATCTTCCAGGAACTGAGCAAAAGCAAATTTTGTAACTGCCTGGGGTCACTGGCTGCTGAGGCCCACTCTCCACACTTTCTGGGTTTTGAGCTTTGGAGGCCCAAGGGTGCTCAGCCTGCAGGGGCTGAGGTGGCCACGGCTGGCAGCACGATGGTGACACTGGCAACGACAATGTTGTGATAAAAACATTTATCGTGCACTGGCTGTGTTCCTGGCTCTGCTGTGGTACTTCCTGTGCGTCACACTGACGGATCCCAACAGCCCAAGGAGGGACGTTTCTGTCACATCCTCATTTAACAGATGAGGGCACGGAGGCCCACACAAGTGAAGTGACTTACCCGAGGCCACGCTACTGGTCACAGAAATGGGAAATGGCAAGTGGAGAAAGGTGAAAGCCACATGAGCAGGGTGCAGAGAGGTTAATGGGAAGAATCCAGGAAAGGTGTCTGCTCAGAACAGGGACTTGAACAAGTGACTTCATCTTTGAGTCTCAATTTCCTCATCTGTTACATGGAAAGGGTAATGTCTATCTTCCCTACCCCACAGAACCCTAGGAAGGGTCACAACCTCTGAAGAATTGCAAACTTCCATGTAAATGTAATTCATTACATTTAACAAAACTAAAACATTCCAAAATGAGTAAAACTACAACTGAGCCTACTGAGTCCCGGAACCAAGCGTGCAATAGAAGCAAAGATTAACAATAAAAACGGCTCCCTTTTCCAGAATAAATCTAAAACTCATTAATAGTCCATGCTTTGTTTAGGGCGTGCTTTGGGATTTTTACAACTTGCAGAGATTTGCTTCTGAAAAGTTTTCACTATGTTAATTAAATTATCCATAGGCCATTTATTAGACCCAATAGCAAGTTTAAATGACTGAGCTTATTGGGTGGTACGACATACAAAAAATGTAATAAAGAGAGAAACTGTAGAATTTATTCATAAAGTTCTTTGTCTTCTTATGGGAGATCACATGCTCAACTTCTTACTGAATGGGGCCTACCCTGCGTGCTGTGTGCCCGTGGTGCATTACAGGAGCTCGTGAGAACATCGTCAATTCCTACACTCAGGCAACGTGGAGGTAATTAATGCGGGATGTGAATGGTAACGATTAGCACCATTGTCCCCAGTTTTGCTATCGGCCATTAGTTATACATGGTTTTGTATACATCTTGGGAAGTACTACACATTTATCAGAAAGGTGCAGGTGTCTGATGCCAAAACACAGGCCGAGTAGACCACTGGTACAACCTGGGTTATTGCTGCAATTAGTCAGTTTGACGCTCACACCCCCTCCAGTCTCCTGCAGGAAGAGGCACTATCTGGTGCCACTTAGAGGCCTGTGTTCACCACAGCTCCAGAAGCCAATCCAAGTAAAAAGTGATGTCAACTAGGGTCTATAATTCACTGGCTGTTTATGGTCCAGTAATCTTGACACCTTATCCTGCCCACGTAGCCTCCAAATTATACTCATAGTAGATGAACAAAAATGGCCCCAATTCTCCACTCCACCCTGTGTGCAAGCTCCTTGCAATGTTCCATGCAGCTCCTGCCATCATGAGGGGGAATCTCTCCCCCACCTCTCTAAGCTGGGCCAATACAATGCAGCAGAAGTGATGTTGTGTCAATGCTGAGCCTGGCAGACCCAAGAGGTCTGCACACTTGGGTCCTAGACATGACCATGTGAACAAGGCCAAGCTAGCCTGTTGGATGATGAGACAATATGGAAGAGACCACTTGACCCGGCCAAGGCGATTCCCAAACCTGTGCCTATAAAGCATTATTTCATTTCAGCTGGGGAGCGCCCAGCCAGGACCTTCAGAGATACCCACCCAACTCATGGCTGACCACAGACACTGACAGGAGCTGGTCTAGGACCAGAAGAGCTGCTCAGCTGATAACAATAAATGCTTATTTTCTGGCACTGAGTTTTAGCATGGTTCGTAAGGCAGCAATACCTAACTGATGCAACCCCAAGCCTCTCTTCTTCCCTCCACTCCACTGACCCAGGCCACAGGCACACGCCAGCCTCAGCTTCCCTGCCTGGCACTCTGGTTCTTCGCTAGAACTACAGACCTGCCCTCAACCCCACTGTGCTTACACATGGCCCGAGGACACTGCCTAATTCTACCCTAGCTCTCCAAAATGCTTTTTCCCTTCTTACACGCCCATACCCAGAAGAGCCCAGGACGGGTGGAGTCTAGTGGACCAGCTGTCCCTCTAACTTCCAATTCTGCCCACTCTCTTTCTGCTCCTGTGTGCTACCAACACACTGCCTCGCTCTTCCTTCCTCCCAAGGATATCTGGAAGTCCTGGCACACAGATCCTGCCCAATGTATGAACCAGTAATTCAGAAGCACTGACCTGGTCAATAAGGTGCAAATCGACTTCTAAAATTTGTGCAGATGGAGGAGCTCTCCAGGAGACACCTGCCTGCTCACAGGTCCAGTGAATGAGTAAACGCTTCTTTAATCGGCGCTGCCCGAGCCTGAGATTTACACCCACCTGAGAAGCGTCTTGCGGAAAAACTGCATCAAAGGCGAACATCTTTGGAGGAACCTGGCTGCCTCTCTTCTGGAAAGCATTCTGACCTCCACACGTCAGGGGGTCATACAAGGTGATCTGCTTCTTCCGAGGGTCCACCTTTAAGAAGGAACTGGATTCTGAGCTATCGCGAGCCAGGGTGGAGCAAATGCGAAGCATGACTTTCACCTGTTAAGAAACAAAGGAGGGAAACAGCGTGGAGAGGGACCGCTGGATGCTTCACAGTCAAGCGCCCCTGTCTATTCTGGTGATATAAACACACAGGGCGGCACTGCACCTTCTCATGATGAATTTCGGTGACGCACACAGTGAGTTAGCAACATAATCCCCACTGGGTCACGGGAAAACGGATTTATTTATAATTACCAGGTAGAATGTTTTGCTATGTCTATTACTTTAATACAGAGGTGGCACCTCATGTTCTTTGTCTTCCTATTAATATAAATCGAAAATTAACTGAGCCCTGGTGGCCCAATTATACAGATGAAAAGGTAACCTGGACCGTCGAGCTATAGGGGCTGGCAGAGTTCCCTCGAAGCTCACAGATCAATAAACCGTGCACATAAAAGTTAGCTCTGTAATTTACTCCTTGGCTTGGCTCATCAGGACTCTGGGAGACAAAAATCCACAGTTATTAGTGTCATCATTAAAGGCCTGTGAAATGGCCTGCTTTTAATGGCCAGCATTTGAAATGTGATCCAAGGGGAAACAGTGATAAAAGATTGGTTTTGCAACGTGTTATTTGGGATCCCCTTAAGTGAGTGCAGAGAAGTTGTCATTTCAGGGAATAAAAGTGCATCTCTAAAGGAAGCAGGAGGCAGTGCTCTTTAACCAGCCTCCTGAGTCACCAAGGGCCAGCATCTCTGGTGCTCCCCCAGCCCCGCCCCACTCATCCTGGCCCCGCCCCATTCAGCAGGGCTTGTGAAAATGGACAGCCTCCCTGGGGCCTAAGGTGAATAGAAATCCAGCAGAAGCCACACTCCTGGTCAACCAGAATTTGCTCTTACCAAATCTTTGTTAATTAGTTCAGTCCAGCTTACTAGATCTTAGCTAGTTCAGTTCAACTCATGATGGGTACTTTTTTGAGTACCTACTGTGGGCCAGGGCTGGGGGATGCAAAAGCGGATAATGCATAGAGTACCAGGGCAGACAGACACAGAGACAGATCACTTTAGTAATACAATGTGGCAAATTCAGGGTTATTTGTAAACTCCTCTGTTTCTTGCCCCCTGTGTATAATCAGATGTCAGGTCTGATGAAACTACCATCAATTTTTTTGTTTGTTTGTTTGTTTCTGGAGACAGAGTCTCACTATGTCGCCCTTGGTAGAGTGCGGTAAAGTCACAGCTCACAGCAACCCCAAACTCTTGGGCGTAAGCAATGCTCTTGCCTCAGCCTCCCAAGTAGCTGGGACTACAGGTGCCCACCAGAACACTATTTTGTGGTTGCAGTTGTCATTGTTGTTTAGCTGGCCCAGACTGGGTTCAAAGCCGCCAGGCTCGGTGTATGTGGCTGGCACTGTAACCACTATGCTACCAGTGCCGAGCCGAGGTTGTACATTTTTAAATAAAGTATTTCAAACATACGGAAATACTGACAGATTAATATGTAGAAGGTAACAAAAAATGTACACCCCAGTCACGTGTGCCTTCAGCAATTACAAGAGATGCTTGCTCTGCCTTGTACGCATCTTTTGGCTCAGTATATGTTGAGTATTACAATTTTAATGCAGTTTTTTTTCCCTTTCTTAAAATGTACACACATTGTTTGGCACCTGCAGTATGTTGCCTGTGATGGAGTGAGGCCATCCTCCTGCTCTGTCTGCTGAGGCAGGGGGACTAATCTGCAGAAACAAGGCTGAAATGTAAAGAATTCCAAGAGCACTGGGCTGTCAGACACACCACCCCACCCCCTGCTGAGCTCATGCTCATAACTTAAGAATGAGACTCAAGTGTGGATCTGGAGGCCCCAGGTCATAGGGGGAGGTGACGCTGACCCCTCAGAGTTCAGATCTGGGTTCTCCCCTGTGAGATCACAGAATGATACCTGCCATTTTCAGAGGGTTTACTGTGTGCCAAGACTGTGCTATCATCTATATTACCTCATTTGATCCTCCCAGAAAGCCAGTGTGTAGGCACAGGTGTCTAGATTTTACCGATGAGAAATCAGATGTCATCTAACTTGGCCCAGATCACTGAACCTAAGGGTGGTAAGGCTGCCTCTGATCCCACCTCCAAAGCCCACACTTTCTCCATCATACCAAAGGCTGCCTTCCACACATAAACTTCTCAGGGCCTCAGTTTCCACACCTGTATATAAGGAATAACAATGCCTATCTTATGGGCTGTGGGAAGACTCAATGAAGTGACGTGTGGCGCGCTGAGTGGGGGACTGAGCACTCGGGGGGCTGGAATCCTGTTTCTCTTCCCATCTCCCCACTTTAATTACGTCCCGCTGGATCAGGATACCTATTATTGTCCAATCACAGTGTGAATGATAAGGTTCAAGACTCTTTGCCCTGGACTCTCAGTACCACGAATCACAAACAGGCTACCACGGGGCATCACTATAGATACGGCTGGTTGTTAAGTGCTGACAAGGCTCCTATTAGGAAAACGTTGCCGACTCCCACAGCCTCTGTGTATAAGACAGCCACCACTTTTATCTACATTCCATCTGGCAATTTTCCTGTTCACCATGACTTTTTATAGCCTGGTTTCAGTTCTATAGATTTTCCCCAGTTACGTACCAGGTATACTAAAAGCACGTATTCAAATCCCAACCTCTGGTAGGTGTCTGGGTCCCCAGGCTTCCTGCAAGCATCTCTGAGCCCAGGCTCTGAGCTCTGCAGGGCTGGGGCGTGGGCGCCGCAGTGCCAGGCAGAACTGATGAAGCCATGGCCCAATGACTTTCCATTTCCCAATTTTGCATGCAATTTCTGGGTAACTAGAGGTGCTGAATATCAAATGTAAGCTAACCCAGGCAAGGGTCTGCAAGGAGAAGCAGGAAGGGAGGGCCGAACGAGAGAGTCATTTGTCCACGGGGAATGCTCCTGCATCTTAATGAAGCTCCGGGCTGCGGTTCATTTTCTGCAGACAGGCTGAAGATCCTGGCTGCTGGTCTGGCCAAAGAGAGACACAGTTCCTTAAAACCCCATGGAACTCTGAGCTGGGGGAAATGCCACACTCAATTCTTTTCTTTAAAATTCATTTAAATAGAGACTTTTTTGCCCTTAAAAGAAGGAAACTGGGTTTTTCTGCTTTGTGTCCTTTGTGTCATTGTTCCCTTAGTCAGCATTCTACTTCCTGCTTAATGGGCTGTAATTAAAGTGCTCGGGAGACGCCACTTGCTGAAGAAAGTCTCTCGGCCTTCTTGCCAGGAGTGCTTGCTTCTGTCACCAACCGTGTTAGGTTCTTGGCAACACCTCCTCCTCCAGCCCAGCCTGACCCTGCTGCTTGATAGAGGGGCCGGGCCATTGTTAACATGCACAGCCTTCTCCCCGGCTCTCAAGGTCAAGGGCACGGTCACTATTTCACTCCCAAGAGTGGACCTGTGGGAAATGGGATCCAGGAAGTTAAAGGAATAGCCCAAGGCGGGGGCAAGGAAGGCCAGACACACACACCCCCCCAGTTCAATCAGCAGGAGGCTGGTGTTTCCTGGACCAGAGTTGCCTCCGCTGCAAACCTCACTTTGCCCCATTTGTCTCCTCACTCAGTGGCTGGTGCGAGACAGCAGTTGCTTAGGGCGGCAGTTGCCTTTATGTCCTGCCCATTAATCATCTCAGCACCTTCTTCTGGGCGGCATTATAGGACAGAGGGAGAACAGAATCACGAGACACGCACCGAGAGAGGCAGAGCCTGGCTGATGAACTCTAGCAAGGCGGGGGTGGCCACAGACCACCAACCTGCCTGCAAGGAGGCTAATGAGGGGTGGCCAGTCATCACCCACTGGCCGCTACACGTGATCACAGCAGACACATATTCCTGCTAATCCCCAGTCAGACAGTGGGGTTTAGGAGGGTGTCCGGCAAGTTTGGCCATTGGAAAGGATCTCTCAGCAATCAAGAAAAGACTACAAGTCGTACTATGAAACTAATTCATACCTTTCATATGAAAGCTATAACCCAGTTATAGCCCAAGAATATGGGGAAAGGGGAGAAAGAGGGGAGGGGGAAGGTGGATGGAGGGAGGGTGATTGGTGGGACCACACCTACGGTGCATCGTACAAGGGTACATGTGAAACTTACTAAATGTAGAATATAAATGTCTTAACACAATAACTAAGAAAATGCCGCAAAGGCTATGTGAACCAGTTTGATGAAAATATTTCAAGTTGTATATAAAACCAGCACATCGTACCCCATGATTGCATTAATGTGCACAGCTATGATTTAATTAAAAAAAAAAAAAGAAAGAAAAGACTATAGATGGTGATGAGGTAGCGGGAGGAGGAGAGGACTCCGTCATTTAGTCTCAGGCATGAGCTTTGTTCCAATTCTTTTTCTGGATACCCACAACTCTCTCAGATGCAGAGAAGCAACGGACTATTCTCTGACCTGAGTCTCAGCCATAATAAATGTTCAGTAAGTGTGTGCGGGTGACAGTAAACACCTTTTTTTTTCCTCTACAAGGTTATAGGCCACAGAATTAAATTAACCACTAACACCTTTTGGTGCCTATACATTTCCCTATCTTAACGCTCTTTACTTTGATTTCTGAGTTCACAGATTTTTAAGACTCAGACCAGTAAAGACTGGCAAGGTACAGGTGGACTCACCTCACCAGAAATATCCCTCGGCATCCTTTCTGTCTCAGCCTCAGCAGTGTCAGGCTTACCTTTAAGCCTTCCACCTCTCAAGTGCCTAAAACTTGTCTGGAAATTGTTCTCCAGAACTTTGGGTGATGTCAACGCTCCCAGCATGAAGAATGGTGGGGAAAGTAGAAAAAAAGTAAGATTGCCAGAGGGATCATAAAACCCAAGGGGCCACCAAGGGACACAGATGGCACAGTCATACCGTGGAGCCTACTAGCAGCTAACTCAGCTCAGGGCCTTGCTTCTCTCCTGCAAAGCCAAGTGCAGTGATGGTGACCCTGGGAGTCCTCAGGGTGAGTGTGTGCCACAGAGATGCTGATCATCCTCTCAGCCTCAGGGAAGAGAGAGCCAACACG